CTATTGGGAGAATTTCTTTTTAAGGAAAACCTCTGCACGTGTTGTCTGTGATTTCATTCAAAAACATAATTTGATATTATTATATTAAAGTCTTGTGTGACAAGTATGGAAATCCAAAGCCATTTAAGTACATGGATGCATTAGTAAGTTTGCCAGAGAATATGTCTTAATTTGTCTTGGCTGGCCCTCCACCAACTCGGTGCATGTAACTTTTTCTCCCTCCTCTATTAAAAACAGGAAATTCAGTAAGTTCCTCATGTGTTTGTGCTGTAAAGGGTGAGGAAGGGAAAATTACCTATTTAGGAACTTTGTAGAAGTCTATTCTAAATGAGACTTGCTTTTGTCCGATAAACTTCTTTGATATCTTATTCAAGTTACACTACTCACCTGAAACAAAAGAAAAATTGGTATCTCCAAAGGAAGGAGACTTACATTATTGCATTAGAATAGAGCAAGACCAATTAACAGCTGTCAGAGGCTGCTTAGGACTTGGGAACTTGTTAATTATTATTTATTATAAATCCTGTCTTTGGCTGCTAATCCAAATTGAGGGTCTTGTGGAAAATACTCCAAAGTGCTTTTAACTCCCAAGGCATGAGAATTCAGGCTATATTAGCCATATCAATATAGACAATTAGCCATGTCTTAGCTAGTCTGCATAACCTATGCCTGCTTTCATGTGGCAAATGTGAAGATTAGACCTGCAATGCAAGAGTATTACCTAAAGTGGCTTTACTTCATGTGTCAGATAAACAAAGATTACATATATTGTCTGATAAAAATTCAGCAGTCCTGAGCCACCTGGCTGTTACTGAGCTCCATCACAAGTAGCTTTGTGGTATTTAATTAATTGAGACTTCCCTTTCCTATAAAAATCTTCATCAGGACATCCAGATGAACAAGGACCATGGGGACATTTGAAGCTGCTTTTCACATTTAATCAAAGTATTGTTTGGTTTGTGGTGACAAAAGTTGTTTTTAAAGAAATTCTCAAACTCCACTCATTTGAAGTCTTTGCAGGGAGTTAGTAGGAAGAGACCAAGAAAAATAATAATTTAAAGAGAATTACATGCTGATGTACCTTAAGACTTTTTTGGGAAAAATGCTTTGTAGTGTTTGTTGTATTATTTGAACTTCCATTACAGTTTTGATATTTATAAAGTACATTCTTAATGCAATTTTGCACTTTTTTTCCCCTCTTTTTTTTTTTTAATTCTCAGAGTAGCAGGTATTTACTGCTACTCCTCATGCTGGGACTTCTCATGCTTCCAGTGCCCTATATCTTGCAGTTGTATCCTCTGAAACAAAGCTGTAATTAAGGCATGCTTTTTTAATCCTCTGGGTCTTTTTTTTTTTTCTGTAGAAGTTTAACAGATGGTATAAATTAAGCCTTATTTTGGTGCACTTAGTGTTAAAAATCCCATTTTAGAGTTACCTTTTAAAAACTTTTTGTGGGCTTCAGGAAAAAATTGTGTTGTTAACTGAAACTTGTTAATCCTTCTTTCAGAACAGTCTTGGGTTTTCCAACTCTGTCCAAATATTGTGCCAGTCCAACTTGATCAGTTATGTAACTGGAACAAAATGAGGCAATCCTCAGTAAAGCAGTAGGTTGTCTGCCTGTTTAAATAGATCCCACACAGCTGATATATGGAATTAAAGCTTTTTTTTCCTCCTGGGGGACATCAATTGAACGCATAATCCATGTCTTCAAGGAAAATAATTGTAAAGTTAAGAGTTCTTATTTGTGATACTCAAATGTGTATTGTTGTGGTTTAAGCAGATATATATGAATTTTTTAAAGTATAAGGTAAAATAAGGACATTCTATTCCCTGTATGTTTCTACTGCCTTAACTCTGAGTGGAATGTCTCTGCTACTTTAAAAATAAATATAATAGATCTGATCAGCAAAAACTTTGTCCTATTTCTTTTCTACAAATGTCATTTCAAAAGTTCATGCTGTTGCAAAAAAAAAAAAAAGAGTCATCTTTAAATACTGAGTCATAAAATTAGTCATAAAAACTTAAAGTATTTTTCCAATGGCTAATGCCAGCCAAGGATGCTCTTACTTTTTTTTACTGGTCAAATGAAACCTCTGTTCTTTGGGAACTTTTAATCTGAAAATAATGCTTGATGGATCACTAGAGAAGGGTGAGAAAAAATTTAATCTTTTGGAAATGTGTGTCAGCTATGGTGTATGCAGGACTCCTTGGCTCTCTTAAATAATGAACTTTTGCTCTGAGCAATATTAGGACAGGTATTTGTGCTATTAGTGGGGCTCAGTAGGGGATAGTTACTATTGTCAGCAGTGCTGAAGCATTGGACTCTGCAAAAGCCTTTATCCACCTTCATAGGAATGCAAGTAGGGCTGGGAGGTTGTGGGATTCTGTAGGAACTGGCAGGGTGGTTGCTTCAGTAATTGTAGTGGAACTAGTCTTGGTGTTTGTTAGCACATGGTGTTACCCTTCAAAGCCTCACTTCACAGCAGGGTCTCACACACAACCTATGCTGAGCAGTCAGGGGCTGCTCCTCTGTGTTTTCATTGTTACACCTTCAGGGACTGTCAGTGCTCATCAGAATGATTTGGTATTTAGCTATAAATTAATATACATGGCAGTCCTTCCCATTTCTTTGTTGATACAGGATGAAAGAATGGATGAGGTTTAAATGGATCTTTGGTGATCATGAAGTCCAGCCTCCTTTGCTCAAAGTAGTGAAAATTGGAACAGGTAGTCTGTCTGGCTGCTCAAGATCTTATCAGACTGTGTTTTCACTGTCTCTGATTGGAGACTCCTCAGCCACTCTGGCACTTGAGGCAATTTTCTGTGCTCTGACATCCAGGGTTCCTGGGGGATGCTCTTGCTGGTAACAGCAGAAGTGAAGGTGACAGTGAGTACCTTGGCCTTTCCTGTATCTTCTGTCAGCAGATCCCCTGCTGATTCAGTCATGGATCCCTAGCTTTCCTGTTGCTATTTTTGCAAAAGCCCATGAACCATTCTAGACCATTCTTGATCCTCCTTCTTGCTTTGATCCTTCTTACTGGGATCCTGTGATCTACTTTGTCACAGTCACTGCAGCTGTGTCTGCCCTGACCTTGACACCACTAGCCACTTTTTCCATGTTTGTAGTTTCCCATGTTTAGCAGAGGGCTTGCCTTTGGCTCCCCAGTCTCCTGTTTCAGGAGGTAATAATCAATGCACTTGCTCCCTCTTCTGTTTCCCCTCCAAGAGATAAGAGGGTTGTTCATGTTCCAAGTGAGGACCAGATGCCTGTAATGTGAGGCTTCTTCTGCTGTGTATAAAGAGGAATTCCTGTGTTTTGTCTTGCTCAGGTGATGAGTAGCGAACACCTACAGTAGTGGTCACCCATGTTGTTCTGCCCTCTCATATGTGACCCATAAGCTCCCAGCTGTCCCATTGTCCGCAGCAGGGCCAAGCTCCATGTGTCCCTGCTGCTCTCCCAACAAAGGGCAGCTTTCCTCCCCCACAGGCCTTGAGGAGCCCATATCCAGCCATGGCAGTGGAATGGTCTCCAAAAATTAAATGCTTACACTTCCTTGGCCCTTCCCTGTTGTCCTTTCATCCTCCAAAGGCAGTGTTTTCTAAGCTTTGTGCAGACTTGTGTGCCTTTGTAGGGTTGGGAGAGGACATTGCCGCAGCTGCTGCCCTGGGATTTCACCTGTCCCAGTCCATTATTCGATGATCATGCAAGTGAGGAGAAGGGGCACAGAAGTCTCTCGTTGCCTTATGTTATTATTGTGTATTACAATGAAATGAAATGAAAATGAAATTGCTGGACAGCCTGTTCTATTTTATTCCTTTTACCATTCATGTCTGAATAGTAATTTCCTCACAACCCTATCTGTATCCTGGTCACTACTCAAAGCCTTATTTAACTTTGAGATTTCTCCATTCCCCCTGCTTTGGAGGGTTATAGTAAGCTCTTGCTATTATCATGTCTGGTTCTTCTCCCTTGAGGCTTCTTAAAATATACTGTATATAGTCTGTATATGCTCTAGTACAGTCTGGATTTCAGAATAAAATACCTGTATTTGTGTTATAAAAGGAAATTTTTACCTCCATCTTTTCCTTCCTTGTCTTTCCCGGACAAGCCCATACTTGGATATCAATACTTCAAAATTAATTTTAAACTGGCAAAGTAAAACTTGGTGGCATATCTCCCATGACTGAACATTTCAGTAATTTTTTCCTCAGATGAGTATTTAATTTTGTCACTGGTTGAAATCCATGGGCACAATTTGGATAAGCTAACAGCATGCTCTTTTAACTTCTAGTACTTTTGTATCTTAATGATATATTGGTCTTTTGTGTCAGAATAAGCTGCTCCAAGGGACAGTTGTTTTTAAGTGGTTTCTCAAAATTGAGGAGAAATCAGGAATTTATTTAGTAGCCATTCTGCATCTCTTGTGTTCAAGTCCTGTTGCTGATGATCTCTCTCTGTCTGGGACTGGGCAGGATGTTGGGCTGGGGAGTCTGCCTGAGGCTCCATGCAGAGGCAGCAGGCTCATTGTCCTGCAGTTGCCATGGTGGGGAAGGACTGAAAGGTTTTCCATCCACCTTTATTTCAGTGACCTTTTCCAAGCTGGGAATTGCAGTTGACTTGGAAAAACCTAAACAGTCATTTCTCTTCAGTGAATCCATACAGTTTCCTCTTGAGTCTTGTAAGCTGAAAAATAAATTGAAATTGAGGAGGGTAATATTTTCTGTTTTCAGAATGCCATTTCTGAAAATCTTAGACTTGTTTCCCACGCAATACATGGTTGGAATTTATTAAACTGCTGTATGTGAAGACTCCTGTGCTTAATGCTTCCAGCAGCATGCATAAGTGAGGTACAATAAAAGTTCAAAGTAATGTCAGCATGTAAAAATGTTAACAAGTAAAAGCATGATTAGATTCTTTAAATATTCACAGAGACCTAATTTTCATCATCTACTTAATGTAGTGACGAGTATTCACAAACTGTGTTTGCTTATTCTTTCAGGCTGAAGGTTTTGAAGCAGATGTTGGAAGATGTTAGCTGTGGATACTGGGGTTGTGGAGGAGTGGTTATCAGAGTTCAAGGTAATACATTCTCCAATATGTAGCCAGAAGTGTTGAATCACTGCTGGTGAAGTGTGCAGGAGTGCTTGCATCCTCTAGAAAAAGAAAGATAATAACCTTGGGTTTTGCTGAGATCATGTGATAAATACAAATGTCTCCATGAAAGGGTTTTTTTCCTTGCCTCTTTGGGGCTACATACTTCCTGACAGAGAGCAGTGAAAATGTATATCATAGATGAATGATTGTATTGGTTTGAGTACCAGACATGACTGTAGGTTTTGCTCCTGCTCTGCTTAGATACACTGGAAATATGTTTTCCTGTCTGTGGAGTGGAGTCCTTTCAAGGGCTGGAGATAAGAATTACTGTAAGACTTGCACACATTTAAACATACATCTTCTAGAAGAGTTGTTAAAAACATTAGATTTTTACCTTCTTAAGTATTGGCAGAAAATATGTTTAGTGTTAGAGAAGAGTTGGAATTTGCATTAACTGGAATTTGTGCTGTTCCACAGTAATTCTGTATCTCGTAATAATGTTCACTACCTGTGTAGAGTTGGTCTTGAAAACTCCTTGAAGTATGGATCTGAAAACTGTAAAAGTTTCACAGGACTGACATCTCACGGTGAAATTTCAGTGGCTGTTTCATTTTTGTAACTTTTTAAAAATCAATGTCCTGTCTGCTGTTGTTACATTCCGTATGAAATTGCAAAGTGACAGAGTGCAGTGTATCTTCTGGCAACACTCTGAAAATGTGAGGATTTCTTTGTGAAACAAAGTTTAGTTTGTAGTAAACTCTGATAAACAGTTTACTATAAACTCTGATAAACAGTGACTTGTAATGGAAAATTGTTGAAATAGCTGTTATATTTAATGATAGAAATTGCTTATAATATTTTTTATTTCAGACACTGCCAGAAGCATCCATATCCAGCTATGCTACCAGCTTGAAAGACAAGACTGCTTTGATTTCATCTCTTTACAAAGTAATTCAGGAGCCACAGAGTGAAGTGAGTATTTTGGATCTCTCACCCAAAATGTCTGACATAACACTGGCAGAATGAAACCAAGACCTTGCATGCTAGGTAATTGATGAAAAGTCTCCTTCAAAAAGTTGTTCTTAGCCATGACATACTATCATGGAAAAAAAATTGTAAGTTTTGTAACCTACTGATCATAGGTTAAGCTTGTAGGTCACATTCATGGGCTTCAGGACTTGGATGTAGAATTGAGAAATGCATTAAGGAATTGAAAAGATGTTTATGTCTGACAGAATTCTTTCTGTAATTAAAACTTGAATGTGAATCTCTTGGTGTCACAAGCTTGTCTATATAATGCAAGAGAACAAGTTAGGTTAGCCATCTTTTTTAAATTGTTGCTTAGGTTTTTTAAGGTTTTTTTTGTTGTTTGAAGTGCATATGATATAAAGACATGGATTTATACAGTGAATGTACCCATACAGAAATGAGGGGAAAATGTGAAAAAAATTGTGGGAAAGGAGGGGCAGGTTTTCTCAGTACCTGTACTAAGAAGGTTCTGTATCCCATGACTGCCCTTGTTTCAAAATGTCCAGGTATGTTCAGAACATCCTGATCTGGGTTTAATTGTGTGTTGTTAACTGCCTTGTACCATCTGGAAATCGTTTTGTGCATTATTTTAATACTGCACCAAATCCTTAATTCTTCTGAAAAGACCCAGAAATAAGGCAGCTTCCCAAAGTTTGAGATTATGGCAGTACTAAAGGTCAGAAGATAAAAAGCTTTTATATATATGCTTTTAGAGAGAATGCTGGTGGTGAAACTCCTAGGTTGTCCAGCAAAGAACAAACGTACTTTTAATTTGCTGCTCAGAAAGGCATTGTGAGTCATTCCAACTACTGAGTCAAGCCTGTCTGGTCTTCAGAATTCGTATCAAAATGTAAATTAATCTGATGAGTCTCCCTGTTGATAGCCTAATTAATACTTTCATAAGTTCTTTGATTTCTTACTACTTCTGACTATCACAAGGTTTCTCAGGGGCCTTAGTAGCAGGGTGCTGCTGCAACTTCTGCTTGAAAAGGTTGTTGGGATAATTCCAGGGGCAAGGTATTGAAGATTTCCCTGTTAGTGAGACTTTGAATTGAAATGAAAAGCTAATGCTGACACTGAGTGTTGTGCTGCCTTGAGAAAAAGTCCTAAAACCTTTTTTGGACTGTTCTCCAAGTAGCCATTGCTTTGTGGGAGAGGCCACTTGGAGCTTTCAACATTGTGAAAATAGTTACAAGCCAGCAGTTAGAAAGAAAAGTAATATCTGCAAACTGCTGTTTGAGATCTGTTGGCTGCATTGTGTAATACCAGCTTGCTGAGGGTGGAGGGTATGTGCTGTCCTCTCTTATCTCAAGGGTGTCATGCAAAGGGGAAGCATTAATGCATGAACACTACAAATACTGCACAGTTTAAAATGGACAAACAACCCCATCTGTACACCTTTGAATGTATGCACTTATAATAATTATGAGTACCATAAAATTGTGATTAATCTTATTTTGCAGGATGGATGAGGGGTTTTTTTTAAGCATTTGAAAAGTAATCATGGGTATGGGCGTCTGTAACTGCATTTTCCTGCTGGTTCATGTTTGCTTTTTATATGGGTTGTTTTGGTTTAGTTTTCCAAAAAATTAATTAGCCATTTGTAAGATAAATGGACTGCTTGTTTAACATCCACTTCATACTGGCTGTGTTAGTAAAGACTTTGTTAGTTTTGAGGTTCCTGGGCCACTTGCTAGGTAAAAAATGTAGTTCAGTGAAAGGGAAGTCCAGAAGATGTGTAGATTTAAAGGACTTAAAATTCACTAAAGACTTTCAGTGGTCAAAAATAATTAAATGAATATGTGATGGGGTTTTTTTTAAAGATGGAAGTTCTATTGCTTTTTACTTAACACACTCTTGCTGTCTTTTTAGATAGGAGCCAAACAGGCTTTTGCTTTAGGAAATAGCAAGTGTTTGGAGTGTCTAACACACTTGGGTGCAGCTTAAAAGGAGCAGGGATGAAATTGCTTGAACATTGTTCTGTTCCAGCATTAAGAAACATCTCAGTCTAGTTCTTTTAGAACTGCTTAGTTCAAAATGATATCTTGAAACAGCAACAGTCATTAGTGCGTTTTGATATTAGGTTGTAGCATCTGGTGGCATTTTGAGGAAGAAAATCTGTTTTGTACTGATTATGCATCTCAATGTGCTGATACAAAGCTGTCTGAAGTGAGATAACGATGTAAACATGGATACCTGTCACAGCTATTTATGGGCCTTTTAAAGTTCAAACACATCATTCAGAACTGGTACTTCATTATGGGAAGGATGTGAATTGTCTAAAAAAATATAAGCTGAATATGGAGCACAGTTCTGCTGGTAAGGTTTTCTAGAAGGATCTTTGCTGTACTGCTCTTAAAACTGATGACTAGTTTAGCTTGGCATGGCTTTTTTGCTTTTACTGTAGAATTTTCAGGGATGATATTTCCAGAGTGAAGCTATATCTCTCAGAAGCTAAAAGTTCCTCTTTTTTAGAATGGATCAGATTGTCCCAGATTACTTCTTAAAAAAGAACTCAAATCTGCTAAGATCTTTCAGTTTCAGAAGTAGCTTTGGGAGGTAAGAAATGTTGACTTGACTTTTTCCATGTTCAGGAGGAAAAACTTAGGAAAGCAAGCAGGTATTTTTCTAGCGTGGTCTCCCTGGTGATTTTGCCTCCTTTGCTTCAATGAAGGGAAGAATATAGAATTGCCTTTCTTATTTTTCTGAAAATTTACTCTACTAAAACTAAAGTTGTGATCTAGACAAATAGCAGGACTGAATTTAGTAGTTCAGCTTGCTTTGAAAGTGCCTGCTGTTTTTGACAATATTTTGTAATTGGAGAAAATTAGGAAATCTCCCTAATTTCCATACATTGACAGGTGGTGCTTAACAGTGTTTCATCTTTATATCAGAGGTAGGTGGTAGCAAAAGAAGGAACATTAAATCCAGGAACACAGGCAGGCTGATAACTTCATTGTTTTAAGGTCTTTTTTTAACTTGATCTAGCTCAGTGTATTACTTCCAGTTCAGTGTTTTACATCCATTTGTATCAACTTAACAAATTTGGTTCTAAAATTACTCCTGAGGCTTCCAATTTCTGTCTTAAGTGTATAAATACATTGAAGCTTCTAGAAGCTTATAATGAGAGTGAGGAAATAAACTTATTCTATTGTGTACTAAGTTTTTGTAATACTTGGAATATAAGTGTCATACAGCTCTTCTCACTAGGTGGGTAAAGCCTCTAGCTTCATTTTGTGTATGCTTTTGGAGTTGTAGGATAACAAGACCTTTTGTTTAGGTAGTTTGCCTGTATATTAGAGATACTGAGAAGTATGAGGGATGTGATAACTATCCTCTATTTTTTGCCTTTGAGGCTGGAGGAAGTGAGCCAAAACCAAGGCAAAGCAGCCATTGGAATTTTTTATTAATGTAGGATGAATGACTCTACTTTCATCATACAAAAGTATGTTATAGGCATGAAAGGTGACTTGAGCAGTTACTGTATCAGTCATGCCCTGATAACTAAAATGCCATTTTTATCAGTTTACAGTTTTGGCTAAAGGGTTGTTCCTGACAAAGTTGCAGATTTTTGTAATGTTTTATTCATTGATGATTGTGCCTTGTATTTCAGCTTCTGGAGCCAGTTTGCCACCAGCTCTTTGAGTTCTACCGCAGCGGTGAGGAGCAATTGCTGCGCTTTACGCTGCAGTTCCTGCCAGAATTGATGTGGTGCTATCTTGCTGTCTCAGCCAGCAGGGATTTGCAGAGCAGTGGATGCATAGAGGCTCTTCTCCTAGGAGTTTATAACTTGGTTTGTATTTCAGCATTTTGTTTTGGAATTAAAATGAAGTGATTATTTCAGTCCCAACTCTTCAAATCGGTGTCTGTCAGAAATTACAACATGAACTTTCATTCTTTGGTCAATATTTTCTCTGCTCTTTCTGTGGTTCTTGAATTTTTTGTTACTTATTTCTTGTGATTGAACTCACATTCTGCTTGAGGACTTTTCGAGGCACTGCTTTTTGTTGCCTGTATTTTGACTATCTGGACTAAAACCACAAAAAAAAAATTACTTTCAACTATTACTTGACTGTTGCTCTATTTGTGCTTTGAAGAACAGAATTAATAAGGAACCCTTAAAAGCACCGTATTTTAATCTTTTTATGGCTATTTTGAAATACTTAGTGGTTTTTTATATCGGTTGGGATTCTTGTCTGTGTAGTTTGTTCTGGTTGTTTTAGGAAGGCTTTTTGTAAAGCAGAATAGTGATGTCAAGTCTCTTCATCTGAAAATCTGGAGAAGGCAGCTGGTATCCATCTCCTAGAAATAATCATAGGTGTCTTCACCAAGCAAATGGAAATATCTTTTTCACCCAAGAGTCTAATTTAAGAGACCTGAGCCCTTATGTTCCACTCCTCCTGAGGCAGAGTACAAGCTTCCTGCCTTTTCTAAATGCTTAGCTGTATCTGACAAGAAGAACATTCCTGAAAAGCATTTGCTCTTATCTTCTGCCTTAAGGCAATTCACTCCTTTCTCTCCATGATGAAGTAATTTAGGGTGGTTCATGGATGTGGCTGTAATCACTTGTTTTTCTCCCAGAAGAGATTACATTTAAGTTAAGCTTGAAACCAGTCTGGTAACATCCTCTCTTAGCTGTGAAGAGTTTCTTTCTCAATTAGTAACTTGGCTTTCCATCTCCAGCTGCCTGGGGTCATAAGAATTTCACAGCAAGCTTCTCTAGGGAGCTGTAGATCAACATGACTTGTGGGAACTTTTTTCCCTGTTTTGCTTCAAGACATAAGGAATGCTTATGGTAAAGCAGTGCCTTGTACTCATGCTGACTTCTTCCCTGCTGCTGCATAAAATTTATAACTGGAACAATCAAGATGGTATTGTTCTTTAGTGTACAGGTTAAAAAGGTAGTAGGTGACCTGCTTAGATACTTACTTTCTCTTTAACCAACGACTTTGTGTATTTAAAACCAAGAGGAAATATGAAGCCTAATATAAAAGTAATTCCAATGTAAATATGTAGAGTGGACTCTTGGAAACTTAACATGTTCAGTAGGAGTCCTGCAGTTTCTTACTGAAGGAAAATGAAAAATGAAAAATTTTGCTCAGAATAATTTTAAATTGGCTACATTGTGAGGGGTGTGTAATTACTGTGGCTGAACCTTGAGATCATGAACTGGATTGTTCTACATTCAGCTTAGGGATGTACAGTGGTAGTGCATGCAGTTGAAATTTTTTGCTTTCCTAACTATAGTTATCAGAGTGTTTTTGTAATACTTCATATATTTTAATACACATCATACACTACAAATACATCTTGAAATGTACTCCTGAAACTTAATTTAAAATCTGATTATAATGAAGAATACAAGTATTAATATTTTTAGAATTTAGAAGTTTGGATGTAGCCATTTTCTTTGCCTTTCTCCTAAATATTGAGGAACATGTTTTCCACATTTATCCAGGAGCAATATTAAAAATTAAAGTATCAGTGGTTTATTGGAGAGTGGAGAAGCTGTGCAGCTTTTCAGAAGGAGCAGCTCTGTGTGCCCTTTTGATCCTTTTCAGTCTTCCTTTACTGCTTTGTTTATTATTTTAAGACAAGAGTTTTAATAATTACTATGTGAAGTTAGACCTTCAGCCTTCCAACACATGGGTGTTAGGAGACACTGAAACTTGTCTCTAATTATTACTTCTGGGTATATGAAATCGGCTGCTGAAATTTTGAAAAGAGGGAAGTAAAATCTAGTGTGTGGTGTTTGTTTTGGTCAAGTCTGCTTTGGATTTTTAACATTTTTTATTTGAAGTACTCCAGTGCTCTTCTGTGGTACGAAACCACATCTTGTTTTGCCTTACCCATTAGTCTTCTGTTAGCTTACAGGAGCAAGAAGTCTGCCAGCTACTGCTGTGGTGGTATCTTTTGGGAAAGTAGCTTCTCTAAAGCTTTGCATCCATCTTCTTTTAATTCCATATAGTGAATTATCAGACTTGGGCTTTTGCAAGTGCTGTGGTCTGCTGCTGTCAAACCTTATGAGGCTGCAGTCATTCCAGAGCTGTAATGTTTCCAAAACAAATTACTTGTTGAGTGCTTACTTGATGGTTAATAGTTTTCAGAACAGAATTATTGATTGTTAACCTTCACAATTAGCAAACAGTGTATAATTAAAAAAAGATAATGTTGTTTTAAACATGATGTTTCCTCTTAGTGTTTTTAATGTGGGTTATGTATGCAAATGGATGTGCCCTTGGCTAAGTTATTTAAAGAGTTTTCATAAACAAACAAAATGTGCTGTGATAGAAAGCAAATAGAGAGATAATTTCTAGCTTGCAGCTTGGATTGTTATAGTATCCCTTTGAGTCCCTATAATAAATAGTATTTAACACTTTAGGATGTCTATTTTCTGTAGTACAATGTAACCAGTGATATCTTCTGTCTTTTTCAGGAGATAGTTGACAAAGAGGGACATAACAAAGTGCTGAGTTTCACAATTCCTTCTTTGTCCAAACCTTCTGTCTATCATGAAGTAAGTGACAGCTACAAAGTGAAATTCTTGATCGAAAAGGGCAGTGTTACCATGATTGTCAGGGGTCTTGGCCAATCCAGTATTTCCCAAGGCTGCAGGCATCTCAGTGGCCAGAACCTGGAGGGGCATGGAGTTCAAACCAAAGAGAGCACGCAGACTGGGACTTTCAAATGCCCAGATGCTTTGGGGGCCTGTTTGTTAAGAACAAAAGTGAAAAGCAGTTTTAACATGTTGTATGATGACGTAGGAACATACTTCTGAGATTTCAGAGTACTCTGAGGCCTTTTGAAGTTGGAATAGTCATGATTGCATAATACCCATGCAGCAACTATGTATTTTTTTTTTCTTTTCTGAAGCTATATGCTTTATTTTGTGCAAAATGAACAGATAACATCTAAACAGTCAAATAACATTAAGCCTGTTGAAAATTCTTATATAAATATGGTGATGTTTATTGTTGTCTATTTCCACTTGCATTGTAGCAAGATTTGAGGTGGACATGCTCTGAATGACCCTTTTTTCCTTCAGCCTTCTAGCATTGGCTCCATGGCTCTCACTGAAGGAGCTTTGTCACAGCATGGTTTGTCCAGGGTTGTGTACAGTGGACCTCATCCTCAGAGGGAGATGCTGACAGCCCAGAACAGGTGAAATTGTATCATGGGATTTTGCTTGAGAGTCCCTAATAGATCTGAGCTTCTAGTTTTTAGTATAGTTGCAGACTGAAGGAGGATAGGTATATGTTGTGTTTTGTCATGTGGTTTTTTTGTTTTTGAACATGTGTAAATGTAGATGCAGAAAGATCAGCAGGGCATATTACTACCTGGAGGGGAAAAGCTTGCTCAGCTGTTGATTAAATTGAAATACAATGCCAAATCTGTTCAAATAACTCTTAAAAATTTCCCTGTAAATTTGTTTTCTTTTAAAAAACAAAGTTGGTAATGGAATTGCAATGTTTCTTTCAAATCCTAGGTTTGAAGTGCTGACTTTCCTTCTGCTCTGTTACAATGCTGCCTTAAGCTACATGCCTGCAATGTCTCTCCAGTCATTGTGTCAAATTTCTTCAAGGTAATTTCTGTAGCTGTTTACTCTTGAAATGCCATTACTAAATTGAAGTGCAGTCAGTTTGGACTTTTTTCACAAAAACAAGCTTTGGGTTCCCAAAGGTTGCTTTTAAACTTGACTTCTTCTCGTAGCTGTTTACAGCTGCAATATTTGCTTTTAATTTATCTTTTATATAACTTTGGGTTGAGATCTCAAAATGGGAAACAATAACCTGGCTTATATGCAGGTTAAGCTTCTCTTTTAAGAGGAGAAGTCGAAGGGAACTGTTTGTTTTTAATAACAGTACCTGTAGTTGTGTTAACTAAAGAAAAACCAGAAGTGTCTTTTAGAAGTGTGGTGTATTTTGCATTGCAGGTTTACTAAATAAATTCAGGGCCTGTGCAGGTTTAAACTTGTAATTATAGTAGGTTGAAACTAGGCATACATTCATTTTTATGGATACATTGAGCATTTCCAAAACCAGCTGTTGCTTCAAAAAACCAAAATAACAATGCCAACATGCCCCTCCTGACCTCAAAACAAAACAAAGCCTACCTCAGCTTTAATTATAGTGTTTATTTTTTTATCAATATCTTTTTTTGAAAGAAGAGAAATGGATAGTAAACGTTTGTCTCTGGATTTTCAAAAGTGGGCTGTATGTTTAGGGAAAAATTAGAATGCTCTCCTTAACCCAGGAAACCCAAGAGACCAAGAAGTCACCCTCAGCAGCTTTTGTCTAGCCTAGTTCCTAAGCTTCTCTCACAACTAAAGCATGATAATGGATGCTGTAAGATTTCCTTCTCTTCAAAGGAGGCAGGAGACTTTGGAGTTTGAAGCACTTGGCAATATTTACCAGAGTAATTACAAGATCTGTGTTAGATAAACTGCTTTAATATATGAGGTAAAAATACTTAGAAGCTCAGGATTGTGGAAAGGAGACTGATGTTGCTTATTCTGCTTGATTAGGTTCTGATTGTATGTGGAATAAATAATTTTTAAAGCATCCAAAAAAACCCCAAGCAAGTTACCAGTGGGTACAAACACGTCTTTCTACTCTAAAATGTTCAGTGTCTGGATCCTGAATTATTTAATGCTATACAATTTAACTTCTTCATTTTTCTTCATTCCTGACTGGTTTTGTCATTCATCTGCTTACTGAAAATCTTACCCTGACAGCAACTTAGAATAGACAGCATGTTAGAGTACTGGGAGTATTTGTCAGAAGCCCTGAATATCTTTCAGTGTCCTGTTTGGATGTGGTGGAATCTATATTCTGCTATTTGGAGATATAGAATAACTCCTTTAATTGGTTTGAGCAATGGGGAATTTAGGGAGTTTTCTTTAGGATCTACAATAAATGTGTTTTCTTCTAGTAAGTCTAATTCAATTTTTATCACTTTCTTAAATTACAAATATGGATTGTAAATATGAAAATTACAGCTCAAAATATTTTGTGTTGATCTCAAGTTGTAAATCCAGATTTTTTGCATCTGGGCAGTTACTAAGTCTCTCTTCATAAGAATGTTACCTTACTCAGATGTCATTCTTGCATTTTTAGAAGAAATAACTCAAGGCTTCTAAAAACTGATCAGTACTGGTGAAGTATTGCAAGTCTATAACCTACAAGGGTGGTTCCCCATTATTTACCAATGACAAATGTATGATTTCTTCAGAATTTGTGTCTGTGGATATCCTCGCCAACAAGTGAGAAAGTACAAGGGAGTCAACAGTAGGATTCCAGTTTCATCTGAATTCATGGTCCAAATGCTAACAGGGATCTATTATGCCTTGTAAGTTGTTTTTTTTCTAATATGCAAACAAAATGCCAGCCTAATTTGTGTACTTGTTCAGACACACTACCTTGGAGGGATTTCATTTTCTATGAGCACATGTTATGTGAAGCAATAAGGGCTCCTTGGGAAGAGGCAGTTATCCAAGTAGTTGGATGAAGTTACCTGTGCCATAGTAGGGAAAGATGAGTGGAGCAGGACTTGGTAGGTGTAACTGCTGATGGGAAGAAAATACTGTAAAAACTCTTTTCCAGCCATTGTCTGCTGTTCACATTTTTGCATGGTTAGTTTGACCTCAGTCTAGTTAAGAAAAAGAGGTTATATTTTTTGTCTGAAATGCTGGTGTCATCTACCATTGGAAAGTCATGTTAATGTGTGAAGCTTAGTAACTGAAATAATTGGAGACTGGTAATACGGGAATACTCAAAAGATGGAGTAATATTAAAAAATCTTGATTGTGTTTCGGAATGTTTTGTGACTAGTTGATCAACAGCTAATGATACAATTTTTAAACTGCTTGGGGTGGCCAATGAAAATAAAACTTTGTCTCCATAGATGCTACTTCAAAGTTCTCTAATTAGCAGGCTTACTGCTAACAAACAAAAGTAGTTCCAATTTTCTAAACTGAACTCTCAAGAAACACCAGAGCTGTGAAGGTTAGGTGACCAAGAAGGTTCATCTTTTGACATGATGCTTATTATTCCATATACTTTTACCTTTGCAGTTATAATGGAGAATGGGATCTGGCTCGAAAAGCAATGGATGATGTTTTGTATAGAGCACAGCTTGAGCTGTATCCAGAACCTCTGCTGGTAGGTATTTTATTTTCTGCTCAATACTTTGTTGAGTAGGATTTTTAGCCTGGGAAATCCTTGCTGTGAGCATGCATGATACCAGATGATAGCAGAACCTGAAGCTGAGTGTGTGCTTGTGCAAACAGCTCAGTCTGTAGGTGCACACACTACACAGGGCTTTCACTGCCCTTAGTCGTGGTGTCACGTTTCCTTGTGACCAAGCTGTTTTCAGCAGAACACTTCTGAGTCTTCAGAACTAAGCTAATGGTGCAGCAGAAGGAATAGCCTCATCTTGAAACTGGAAACTTTAAGAAAGTGGCAAGTAGAAGTTCTGAGAGCTAATTGCAGCCAGCATTCTTTATAGGCCATGCAGAAAGGTGGTGTGCTTTTTGACCAGAAATTGGAATTGTACACAGTATTCTTCTTGAAATAGGAAGAATCCCTGACAGAATTCTTCTAAAATTTATATCTTTGTGATAAGAACTTAAGTGCATCTCTTCTGTTCTAGGTTGCTAATGCAATAAAAGCTTCATTGCCTCAGGGTGCCATGAAATCTAGTAAAGAAGGTACAAGATGCATTCAGGTTGAGATAACACCTACTTCATCCAGAATATCAAGGAATGCTGTGACTAGCATGTCTATAAGAGGGCATAGATGGAAAAGGCGTGGTAAGAAACACATTTTGCAATGAATTCTTAGCTTTTTCCATGTTTTAAAAATAATATTGAGAATTTTATTATTTCACATATTTATTGCTTATAGGCAAGCAGCAATTTGGAGGTTATTATTTTCTTGAGTGGTGAATGAGAATCTCAACACAGTTCAGATGAAGTATATTATTTATTTCCTTAACCATGTTTTTAAAAAAACGCACCACACACAAACCCTTTTTTTTAAAGGGAGGTGTACACAGTTAGTGCTTCCTCTGAAAATTATGTTCCTGCTTTCTTCTGAAAACTAATTTCTAGTACCTGAAGCAAAAGAAATATTTAAGGACTTTACCACAGAACCTCATCTGTCCTAAAGTACTTAAATAAAAATTGGATTTAAGGATAGAGGGGTAAACTGCTATGTTTTGGTGTTCTGGTTTAAGCCCACACAACAAGTAAGCCCCATACAGCTGCTTACACACTCCCTACAGTGGGATGGAGGAGAGAACTGGAAGAGTAAAAGTGAGAAATCTTGTTGAAATAAAGCCAGTTAATGAGATACAGCCAAAGCTGTGCCTGCAAGCAAAGCAGGGAATTCATTCAGCACTTCCCATGGGCAGGCAGGAGTTCAGCCATGCCCAGGAAAGCAGAGCTCCGTCATATCTAACAGTTATTTGGGAGGGCAGACAGCAAATAACTCCCCCTGTTCCTCCTCCTTCTCCCAGCTGTGTGTACTGAGTGTGATGTTACATGGTCTGGGATAGCCTCTGTCCCAGCTGTGTCCCCTCCCAGCTGTTTGTGCACCCCCAGCCTGCTCGCTGGTGGGGTGGGCTGAGGAGCAGAAAAGGCCTTGGCTCTGTGCAAGCAGTGCTCAGCAGTAACAAAAATACCCCTGTATCTACAAAATACCGACATCATTTCCACCCCAAATCCAAAACATAGCCCCATGCCAGCTGTTGTGAAGAAAATTGTCTCTGTTCCAGCCAAAGCCTGTAGATTTGGGCAGACTAGTTTAAGGGTTTCCACAAAGCAGAACACAAGTCTGGGATGAAAAGTAGGAGAAATTGATGCCAAGTGTACTGCAGAAGTAGCAGTACCAGCAAGGGATTCTGTGAGTCTAAATGTTATATTCCTTCACCTTTGCCATGTTCAGATGAGGGAAGAGCCACTGGACCAGCAATCAGAATTGGCAATTTTTCTGTTGGGATTGTAATCCTGGCTGTAAACAGGCTAAGAGCAGGAGTGTAGGGTAGAGTGCTTTTCTGATAGGTTCACTGAAGATTTTGTAGTACCATTAAAATTTCTGTAGGATGTTACTAAGTGAGTTTTTGTAGTACATGGACAGTTAGAAAAATTTTGCTAAGTTACTTGTCATAAATTGGCCAAGAGGTAATTCAGGTAAGTGTTGAGAAACACTTGGTGGTAGAACACATTTGTGGTTCTAGTACCAATAGTGAGCTGCCAGAGAGGGTGAAGGACAGAGAAGAAAGGTGAAACAACCAAATTTCATTTCAGTTGATTAAAAACTACTTAAAACCATCAGACAAACCCGAGGAGCAAAACATTAGTGTCTTTAGTGAAATGGAGTAGCAAGTCATTACTGACATCTCAAGGCTGCTTTCTTTCTTCAGCCTTAAAGTTATTAAGCATGGATTATTGACCAGATGCAAGAAAACTGTATTATATCTTAGCTTTTAAATGGACAAAAACCCTCTGAAGCCTGGCAGTTTTGTTAGCTATTATTTTTGAGTGGTTTTGATGCTTGTTCAAATGGAGAGTGGAGAGTAATATAGATCAAGGATACTTAGTGCTAGGTCATCTAGAGAAATTGATAGTGTATTAAAATAAACATTCCCTTTGTGTTTACAGGACACTACAAGCGTCCAAAATGAGTATTGGATATATCCTTATAAGAATGCAAAGTTTTCAGCAAATACAGAAATAGAGAAGTTTCTACAGTTATTGCCTCCTTGCAGGGAGTCTGGCTTGGTGAAGTTCAAGGAAAAAAGTGTGTGACAGGTGTGCCCTGCAGCAGATAACAGTAAGGTGAAAGGGAAATGAAAATACCAGTTGAACTCAGAAGTGGAGTGGAATGCTATGTTTTATGAGAGTCTTATAAAGTAGGACAAATTGAGAGAAACAGCAATAATCTAGTGAGTGCAATCCAAGCAAGGAGTGAGTAGTCAGTATTCAGAGATAAAGACTGAAAAATTAAGGACTTTTTCAAAACAGCTCATGCCAACATTTTGTTTGGGTTTCTGTGAAAATGTTGGATTTGTCTCAACAGTACAGGATTTAATGAAGAGGAAGAAAATCACACAGTGTAAGGTGGGTTGGAGTGAAATACATGGCAGGTTGTGGGAGTAATTGTAAATTTGAAGGCTATGCAAAGACTAGGCTGATTAAGAGTCCAAAGCTGAACCTGTGGTATCTAGCTAAGTGACTGCCAATTGTGTTATTTTAAATGGTAAATATTCCATACATAAATCACTTTGGCTAATCTCCTCAAAATTCTCATTATAAAACCCTAACGAACCTTTTGTATGTGACTTGGACAGCCTTTTTAAAGCGGGAGTGGGTGGTCTCCCATTTTCAAAATTCTTACTAAACTAATTCAGTGCCACACAGTTCCTGAGGACAGAAAGATATGAAATACCTCTTCACAATTGGCATGCAGAAAGAATAACAAGTTTTGTGCTTAGACATGCTTGTTCAAATTAAAATGAATATTGGAATTGGTAGAAATTAGATGATAAACCTCGTACTTCTTGACCATTATTCTCTCTCTCTCTCTCTCTCTCTCTCTCTCACATAGTGTAAGAGGAAAAATAGTATTTTGGGGGTTATTTTTATTTTCATTATAATAAAAATTAGTGTAAATGGATATGGAAGTCAGAGGAGACAGCTGAGAGGTATTTGATGTTATACATTACATAGACTGATGAAGCAAATTATCTCTTGGGGAAGCAAAGGCAGCAACTTTCAATCACTACTTATGTGTGTAAAATAGAAGAACCCCAGTGAATCACATATCCAGCTGAGAAGCATGGGCTTTATTTTCTTTATGTTTTAAACAATTCATTTTACTATAGAAGTTTTCAGACATTAGATCTTGCTAGCCTTTGCTCGAACTCTAGATTGAAGTCAGTTTTGAATAAAGGTTGACTAAACATTGAATCTTCTTGTAATTTGTTCATTAGGAGCAGTTACTTAGAAGGACTTTTAAAATTCAATTAGTAATTCAGTTAGTGAATTCAATTAGTAATCTGTGAATTTGGACTTCACAGATAGGTATTTTAGAGGTTCTAAATATGAGGTTGGTTTGCAAAACAGATCCATCTAATCACAAATTGGTATTGTTTATTGAGTGAGCTGATACTAGTTACTACTTAGCAATTAATTATTTAGTGCTGTTGGATTAGATTGCCTGCATATTATCACACCTGGAGGGGAGCATTAGCTCGTGTGTGTAGAGGTGTGTGTAATCAAAAATACTCTGATGTAACAGACTGAGAAGAGCTGACCAGATGTTGGTGAGACACGTAACACAAGAAAAAAGACATCAACTAGCAAGGAGGGACAGAAAGTGACTTTTTTCTTTGCTGCAAAAATTGCCTTTTATGTAGTACACAAGGTTTAGAAGTACTAGTCTTTGAATTTTCTTACTTTTTTAACAGTATTAATTCCTGAAATAATTGTAACTTACAAGAATCTGAAGTTAATGCTAATCTTAGGGTATAAGCCTGGTCCTTTTATGACTAATTAAATATGCTAACACAGTTGTGCAGGACATGCAGCTTGAGCTTGTGGGGGTTAAAATTGAATTGCATTTGGAATGGTCAGTTTGCCTGTGCGGTCTGAGGTAAATTGTCTAGGCAACTGTAATAAGGTAGACTATAATTTTGAATTAAGTTTTAGCAATTAGTAAACATGAAATGCATTTGTCAGAGTTGGTTGTACTACTCAAAGCATTCAGAAATGTGACACCAAATACATTTTCCTTCAACTGCTGTGGGTATATCTATGTTAACAATCAAACTGATGTAATTATTCATTTTCATCAGTTCTACACTGCTCAGCAGTGTCCTTGGTTTTCTCTTTTGTTGCATTACCTGGTGCACTGGGCATTAATAGCTCTCTCTCAAAGGCTAGACCCCCAGAGCTGTCCAGCTTGAAAGCAGTATTATCTTCACCATCAAGCACCATGAAGCTGAAGGTTTGGGTGTCCTTAAAAGCTGTAAAATAAGGAGGGTGTGCTGCTATGGAGGGTGTGGATTATGTACTCTTATCCCTGCCCCAAGCCTGTAGCTGCTATGGTCGGCCGTGCTAATGGGAGTTGAGAGAGCCCATATCACATTTTTTCCATTAGTTTCCCACTGTAGTCAGTTAAATTCAGAGAAAGGTATATTTCCTTTAGACATAATTATAATGAGTAAAGCTCTTAAATTTTTGGGGTTTTTTTTCCTCAGTTCATTGTAGTAATGGTTACTCAGCTGTGGGAATACAGCAGTATTGGGTGAAATGCTGATATCACAGCTGGGTGTTACATTTAGAAGTGCTCACCACCAAATAACCATAATTGGGTAATGCTTTTGTACAGAATCTTTTACCCCAAAAAAAGAAATCTTCCCATTTTTCTGATTTCTGCTCTGTACTTTGAGTCTTCTTTCTTTGGAGTTGGATAATTAGTGCTTTCTGACAGTTAAGCTCTGTTCTGTCCTTTTCTCTCTCTGGGGCAGCAGGAGGGAGTTTCAGATTGCCATTGGAGAGGCACAAGTTCCTCACTCCAGTGAAATTAGAGCACTGAGGCCAGTCAGAGCATTGGTCTTCTTTCTGTTTCTGTGTTTTTAGGAAAAAAAAGGGCTATATTTGGTGGTGCTTTCATTATCACAATTGTTTATTTATTGATATTACTTTTCCAGCTCATGGAGCTTTTTGCCACCTTTGCTACTGGAAATAGAAGACTTTTGCAGAAAGTGCTGTTATAAGTCAATGGTTCTGAGTTTTGTCCAAATATCAGGAATTCAGTGAGGAATAGCACCAGTTATTAATGCCATTTCCTTTGGGTGGTGCAACCTGTTAAATAGATACTTTGGTCATTGATTAGTTAGAAAGACTTACAATTATTAGAATTTTCCGGTAAAATAAGGGATAGCTGATATACTAGGGGACACTGATGTCCCTCCCTGCCAGAATAACCTTCTGGCTCAGCTGTGATCAGTGCAGACAGCACAAATGGTAGAGAAAAGATCAGTGCTGGAGCCACCTGACCTAGAAGTACACAGTGCCTGCATGAGAGTCTTCAGGGAGGGGACAGAAGGAAGAGGGGATCCCCTTGAATTAAAGAGCATTAGAGCTGCCACTGTGAGAAGTCATCTCATTGTAAATTCCTCTGGTTTTGGACTTCATACTGTCAGTTCAGAGTGCTGCCAGCTCTGTCATGTGCAGCAGCAGACTGGCAGTATGGTCTGAGTGGTCCTTACTTAATCCTCTGTGTTTGTAATGGAATTTGTAATGGAAAAGCTGCATTACAAATAAAATAGGGACTCACTTGAGATTTATTCTGAGCTGTGCTTTTAGTGCATTTTTGGTCTTGTCAAGTTTCTGTGCCACAGTGCTCTTCTCCACTAGTTTTTCTGGGGTATCCAGAAATACCTTTCCAGTCGAAAATAGTTTTTTGAAATGAAGGAAGGGAATGGATATCCAAGTGTGCTTGAGTTGACTTTGTTGTTTCACTCTTAGCTTTCAGGCTGACCAAGGTGCAGCATCGTGACATTGTATGTGAAGATTTTCTAGTCTTGAATGATAATATATGAAGTTGATATGCCATTTCCTTGTAAAAGTAACTTTCACTGTAGCATGGTGATACAGAGAATACAGTCGTAAAAGGGAATTATGAACTGTTCTTTTGTTTCTGATAATGTGTTTCATGATCCTCAGAAATTTCAGTCTTGAAAGATCAAGCATGGGCCTTTCCAGTATGTGACTCAGGCCAATAACTGGAAGATTGAAGACTGCCATTTTAGAAATAAAGCAAAATTCCATACCTGCTAATGTTGCTAATTAACAAGAGGTTAATATGTGTACATCTGCTTTAATTTATAATGCTTAAGTCATCTGTATCTATTGGCTTTTGTTTCATGTTTTGTTTCAGACATTTTTTGTTTGTTTTTTTTTTTCTTATCCATCTTTAATTCTAGAACAACCAGAGAATGGTAGTGATGCTACTGAATTGGGCAACTTTATCATACCTGAGATTAGTGTCACAAGTGTGGCTGGAGAGAGGACCGGGAATGGGGAAAAGAGCAGAGCTCTAGCAGAGAATGATGTTCAGCATTTACAGGGTGTACAGGAAACAGCTACAGAACCTAAAACTGACAGCAAAGGCCTGCCAGAAATCAGGAGGCAAAAATCTGTAAGAAAAATGATGGAGGATGGAATAAACTCATCTGGCAGAGTGCAGTTTTAGCAGAGCACTTGTAGCTGCACTGTAAGGTACCGCTGTTGATTGAAAGGGTCACTGCTGCATGTTTCAAGAATTAAAGTATGCAGTTAATATATTTGCATGTGTAATAACACAGTTGCATGTATTGCACACAGCTTTGTCTGTGCCCACATACAATGATGACATACTTAAAAGTAGATCTGGAGATCTACTAGTTAATCTGGAGAAAATACACCGAGACTCAACATACCTTTGAGTTCATTAAGCATATTTATGAGAGTTTACAAAATCCAGTGATCAATGGTATGAAAAATCCATCAAAATGGATGTTAAAAGTATCTTGCTCTGGAACTCATACTTCCCAAATTCTGCCTTTCACGGTATATCGCATATCTCATGTTGTGCTTGAGTTTCCAACTCTTACCACCAGACCTGTGATGCAGAAAGTGACCTTTCAGTCCTAAAGCATTCCTGGGTTGCTAAACATGCAGGTGCCATAGGGTGTCCTGGGGCATTGATCACATACCTCTGTAATTGACAAGCTTTGCCAAATCCTGTAGTGGATCAATTGCTCAAAATAAGATTTACACTTCTGTTTTGTTCTGTATGGTACTTTCTAATCTCTAAGTTTCTAATTTCTTGCATGAATTAACAAGACTGCATTTTTTTTCCTTCAAAATCACAACAAAATGAGATTGGGGGCATGCCTTTTGATGTAATGTGACATTACTTGCTGTAACTCTATGTCCTAATGAACCTTAATTCCAAAATGTCATGGAATAGGTAAGCATTGTCTTCTCTGTTCTACGGCTTTATGGCTTCATGCTTATAAATATCAAAATTAAACAATATATAGAATCAATGAATGTGAGACAGTCAGTTGCTAATTTTTTATTTCTGTTTCTATCATGCAGATAATTCTGACTTAGCAATTGAAGAAGAACTGATAGAAGTATCTGAAACCGATGAAGGGTTTTACTCTAGGGCTACTTCTGGAACAAGTCAGTCTGCCCTGTCTAACAGCAGCACCATGAGCAGCAAGAGCCTCTTAGGGAAGAGCCTACGAAGGTCTGGAGGAAGCAAATCTGGAGGAAAAGAAAAAGAAGGGGAAACCTGCAGAGAGCATTTGTCACGGAAACAAACTCAGAGAGCCATGAGTGAGAATCTAGAGCTTGTCTCTCTGAAGAGACTGACACTGACAACCAGTCAGTCCCTGCCTAAGCCTGGCAGCCACAGCCTGGCCAGAACGACCACCACTGTGTTTAGTAAATCCTTTGAACAGGTCAGTGGTGTCCCAGTTCCAAATAATCGTGGTGGTGTCTCTGGTACAGAGGCAAACAGGTATTCAGCTTGCAGTCTTCAGGAGGAAAAATTGATATATGGAACAGAAAGGACAGATCTTCCTATTTTAAGCAAACAACCTAATCAGCAGCGACCTCCCAGTATTAGCATAACTTTGTCAACAGATTGACATTAAATTGGCCAGTATAAAAGAGAAATTACTGAGACTTTATCCTGATATTGGTACATTAAGGTCTTAACATGCCTTACGTTACTTCCTTAAGTCTCAAATCCAAGTAAATTCTTACTTGGCTCATGTTTGACAGTAATAGTGAATAGAAAACAGTTATAATTATTTTGAGTCAGCTTCTGATATCTTTACAACTTCATGGAAAGTTTATACCTTCACCAGCTGAACAAGTGTTAATTGGTTGGGTGTCACTTGCCAAGGTGTGTGGATTCTTACAGATGTACAATGTGGGAACAAATAGAGTGTCTCTCCCAGATTCTGCTTTTTGTCTTCCACTTGGCATAGGCAAAACTACAAGTACTTAGGGATTTTTTAGAAGGAGTCTTGCAGTATTGTCATGCAATTTTGGAAGAGCATTGTAAGAACAGACATTTTCTTACATGTGAGCTGTGCTTACATGTAAATATAAACTAGAAGCATCACTTCATTGTTTGGTGTTCTGGTGGCTTTTGCATTGGTAGTTAGTACATGTAGCAATGTTCATACTTCTTTATGCCTGTATAAGTCCAATTTTAGATGCATTTTGGTTTATCTGTATGTCTTGAAACTGGGCCTAAAGTAATACAGTAGCAGAGCTTGTGGCTGGGAATTATTATCAATTGCTGTAGTAGTCACTCCTAAAAATTATGTGACAGATGCTTTCTTTAGGATTCTTAAATATCAGTTCCAAAACTACTCACTGAAAAGCCAGTCATCAGTATTTTTATTGTCTGTGGGGAAGAGATGTGCTTGTGTACCAATGTTATGTAGAAAGATGAGCCCTTTGCACTGCTGCAAGCAAATCAGGAGTGTGAATGTGCTTAACAGGAATCTCGTGCTTGAGAATAAGAGAATACTACCAAAGGATGTGTACTTTCAGTAACTTGCAAGCACAAATGGGAACTATAATGTAAATATTAGTAGCACTGTAATTCCTAAGGTTTTTTATAGCTATTATTTTTCTAGTTTGACATTCTAAACCAGCAACCTATTCAAGGTTTTACCTAACCTTTAGCCTTCAGTGAGTTTGACAACAACTTTTATAATGTTAAGATTTTAATTAAAAATGGATATTAAAACTTCTTATGCAGAAATCTGAAGAAGCAGCTGCTGACAAAGCCACTCCAGTAGCAGTTATTAGCTGATGAACAGACAATTTATTATAATGAGTGGAGAAGTAGGATGAAGATCTAAGGCATAGTTGCTCCCAACTGTCCAGATTTCTGCAGCTCTTAATCCATTATTGTCAAGACCATTGTAAAAAAACAAACACTAAAATTCTGGTAGACTTACCCATTTGCTTGGAGAGAAGTATAGATACTTTTGACTTAAACTGAAGCACAAGTAACTTTTAAACAGCTAATGTTATTCAGGTTTATAGCAATTAATAAGTTTATTAATTAATGAAAAGAGTAAGTTTTATAATTGTACTAATAAGACAACAGACTGGATTTGTACATTCCTGAGAATGCACCAAAGTATGCAGAATAGCCCCATCAGTCTGTAGGTGTTCATATTTACCCAAGAGCCTGAATTTAAAGGAGTATGCCACAATTTCTCATTCTTCATTTTGTTTTGTGACACCATTCTATTCTAGTAATGCAGTACTTCACCTTTTTACAGTGAAGTGTTTTCCTAATTTTACATAAAAACTTATATTCCTAATGGATCATCTACAAATTTGCCCTGTTTATTTTTTAATACTGACTAGTGAGAAAAACTGGTTCTTTGAGATTGTTTTTGTAAATACTTTCTACAGCAGAAAATTTAGCCTCTTTTTTATAGGCTTTTCTGCAATACATATTAGGACATTTGTTACACATTGACTAATGCATGTGGCTGCTGGACATGCATAACCACCAGCAGCAGCAGGGTGTTAGCAGCTGATAGTTGGCATTGGTTGTGTTTACACACAGTGAATGTAGAGCTCTTCCTTCCCTTGAAATTTGATCTACATGTTGCAGAGAAATAACCTGCAAAACTTACAGCAGTTTCCTAATCCACTTTTGCAGTGTAGGATCTAAAGAACGCAGTAGTGCAGTAATTTAAATTGACATAAAACTAGAATAGATAAAATTGTAGTAGACAAATATTTGTTGTTATGGTATTAGTTGCGAGGTAGTGTTGAGGGGCTAGAATTTTTGAGAGTTCTGCTGGTTTTGCTTTGTTTCATTTAATTAATAATTGTTTGTTACCTCCGTGGTAGACACTCTTTCAAGCTGGGTGTTGGTATAAAAAATATTGGGAAGATTTAGCTCTAAATAATTAGGACTTCAAATTAGGATCTAAAATGACATAAGTTGTAGATATGTAACCAAATGTTTCCAGTACTCTTGGCTACAAGCCAAATGGTGGTGAAATGAGGTTTGTTTATCCTTTTATTTTATCCAGCTGGTCTGGCTTGAACCCAAGACCTAGGCTCTTATTGGTACAACTGAAATAACATAAATCTTCATACTTTTTTGAGACAATGATAAAAGGAAAGGTTCTGGTACTAAAGACTGTTCTGTCCATAGATATGTAGTGTCTTATAAACACATTTGTATTGGTCTCTGGAGTCACCCACCCAGTGAGGAGTGTGTTTTTGTGAGCTGACATCTCACCTTCATACTGATTGAGTCTAAAGAATTTCTTTCCTGAGTACCAAAACTTTGAGTTGTGCTTCTTTAGTTTCTTAAAAATTGAAAGGTTAAAAAAAAAAAAAGCACAAGGGAGAGTGAGGCAGAATTATTTGTTGACCAAATATCCATGGTGCAGGATTAGGAGAGGGGTGGGAAGAGCGATGACGGAGGTAGGGCAGGAAGCAAATATTTCTATAATTGTCAAACTCTGGGGGTTTGAGCATTATCCAATCACTTCAGACTGTCAGATGGAAAATCTTTGTTAAAGTAGATGTCTTCTAACGGTGTAAAGGAAACCCATTAAGACACCACATATTACAGTCTGCCCAGGAGTGGGTAGTTCTGATGAATACCTTCCAAACATGCACAGCTGCACCATTCTGCAGGGAAAATGTTATGTAGGAGTGAATCATCTCACATTGTAAAAGAGAAGTTGTTTCACTGCTGACGTTTATAACTGACCTTACTGTTCCAAATCAGAGGCCACTGTTTCCAAGGATGGCTTTGAACAGCAACACTTGCAGAACTCATTGAAGCCGAGAAGAATTATTTTTGTTGTGAGAATATGTACCATTTGTGCAAGAAGTGTATGGCCTCTAACCACTTGCTGTAGCACTGCAGTGACTTTTTTGAATGGATTTAAATGTCTTGAATTGCCTTGATTACCTAAAAAATAGAGCTATTTTAGCCACACTTCTCTCTAAGGAGGTTTCCTATGAGAAATTCTAGAAATTTCTAATGTAATTGTCCAGTACCTTTTGTTGGTCTTTGAGACTTACTGTGCTGTATATAGATGTATAATATATTGCCTTTTGTATTTGTACAATTCTACTTCTAAGACTAGATGTGCACATTTGATATTCCCTGAAGTCTGTGGAACATCTGCATCAGTCTATGGATGTATGTCTTTCACATGAGAACCTGAATTTAAGCAACTGCCACACTTCCATTCACTTTCTTCAGCTCATTATGTGACACTGTTTTAGAAACACAGTTTTTCACCTTTTTTGCAGTGAAGTGTTCTGTTGATTGTACATGAAAACTTACATTCCTAATGTATAGGCTACAAAATTGTCTTTTTAGTGTTTAATAATTTTGGCAGTAAAATAAATTTGTTTTTTTTGAAGTTGTATGCTTTTGTAAATACTTTGTACAGCAGAAGATTTTGCCTCTTTACAGACTTTGTTGAAATACACATTACATAGCTACATATTTGATCAGTTTTCATTCTACACATCCAGAAGTCATAGTAAGGTTGACTGATTACTTTAAATATGCTGAATATCTATTTTATACAACACAGGGTCTGCAAATGCAGCCCTGTCAGGAGGGACACCATGGCTGAGAAACGCTGATGGGTGAAGGGCGAATCCAAGCAGAGGAGTTGCAAATTGGCAGAAGCAGATGGTGATCCTGTCAGTGAAGCAGCATTACTTTGGCAGATTGGTGCTTTTGGTGGTGTGAATATTAACAGTGCTTTGATACACAGCATTATCTGCACTGTGCCCAGGGTAGCTCTGGGGGCTGTTCTTGCTGGTAACAGCAGAAGCAAAGGTGGCAGTCAGTACCTTGGCATTTTTTGTCAGCAGCTCCTCTGCCCCTCTCAGCTGCAGTGCCTTTTTTCCCCCTAGTCCTTCTGTTGCTGATGATCTCTCTGCTAAATCTTTTTTTCCCTTGCCTTCCACCTTCCATATTCCACTTCATTTGGGCTTTGTCTTTCCTGACCCCACCTGTGCATGCTTGGATGGTGCATCTCCCCAGGTTGCCTGCTCTTGCTTCCACCTCTTGTATGCTGCTTTTTCATGTCCAGTCAGGAGCTCCTGCTTCATGCTTCCATGCCTTCTGCCACCTCTGCTTGCTTTTCTGTGTGTAGCCATAGACCATTCATTAACCTGGAAGAGATGGTTCTTGAACATCCTCCAGCTCTCCTGGGCCTCTCTCTCTAGGATGGTCTCCCATGGCCATCTGCAGAGAAATTCCTGTGCAAGGCAAGTTCTGTTCTGTAGCTCCAGGGTTGTGATCCTACATTTAATTCAGGGGTTTTTTCCTTTGCCCTTACAAATGTAGTCTCTGGTGCAATGCTGCAGAGAAACCTGGATGAAGGAAAGAGCTACAGCTGGAGGGCAGCAGTGGGAGATCTCACTGCATGGTTTCCTATTTTTCAGATGTCAGTGTTTAACCGTGTCTTTTGAAAGGACAAAACTCCATTTCCCATCCTTTAAATGGGTGAGAAGGGAAATCTGATTCCAAGCATTGGAGTAGGTGAAAGTTTTCCTTTGCAAAAGATACAAATTCGACTTGGTGCTGTGATCGTCCTGTAAGTGTGTAGGATTTGCAATTTCAGTTACAGTGAGTGAAAAGCAGTGCTTAAAATGGGCTCTTATGTCGTTTCAGGGTCGAATAGCTATTGATTAGTGAAAAACAACAAGAAATTCAACACCTTTTCTTTTCCCAAAATGTGGTACTCCAAAATACTGCCTGAATTTGCATGATGAGAACATAGCTGAGAGCCTGCTGGACAATTCACAGGGAAAGGGGTTTATGAAGGTATTACAGGCAATTAGTAACAAGTTACAGAAATTATATTTGTTCCTACAGATTTCACAGCTGGTTGCCTGCCCTGAGCTTGTAATAGTTGTTTTTCATGTTTTATGTTAATCAGGCTCTGTATGAAAGATGACTTCAGTATGGGGGTTTTCTCCCAGCCCACAGCTGCCAGGTAATAAATACACCTGCTAATTCCAGGTAGTGGGAAGAATGTCACTGTGAAACTCCAGCAGCCTTTGTGAAACAAGCCCTCACATCACAGAGTGCTTGCTTGTTTAGCTTGATTCCCAAAATAAGGTGGTGTTGAGTCATCTGTTACTCTGCATGTGCAGGGACAATGCAGAAATGTAACGGTGCGGAAGGACTCTGGAAGTCGCTCTGAGTCACGCAGCACTTCTGACAAGCTGCCTGCTTGTTGTTCTCATCACTAGTGCTGACTAATCCTGGCAGTCCCCCACACACACTTGCTTGGTCTGGAGTCTGAGGGTAGGCTTTGTGCTGTGAGAGGGCACGTTTCAGAGGGGGTAAGAAATGTCAGCTTCTGCCTCCACAGCACACAACAAAGCAAATGGAGGTGTGTCACGTATTGGTGGAAGAAGTCCTTGGTGTGGATGGCACTTCTGCACTACAAATTGTCAACCAGAATAATGAATGTTCAGTGCTTTCTCTGCAAAGACACTTTATTCGTGCATGAAATAATGGAATCACAAATTGGTTTGGGTTGGAAAGAACCTTAAAGATCATCTGGTTTCTGTTCCCTTGCCATGGCCAGGGATGCCACTCATGAGACCAGGTTGCTCAGAGCTCCATCTAACCTGGCCTTGAACACTTCCAGGGATGAGGCATCTGCAGCTTATTGGGGTAACCTGTTCCAGTTCCTCACCACTCTCACAGTAAAGAATTTTTTCCTAATGTAAACTTACTCTCAGTTTGAATCCATTACCCCTTGTCATGTCACTACAATCTCTTGCACATCATCTTTGATTCCAGTGAATCACTAATTTAAAAATCACATATAAAACATATGTGTGTGTGTGTGTGTGTGTTTTACACGTTGTTTTCCTCTTCAGCTATCAAGGTGTGGAGATTGTAGTACTGCCATGGAGACTGCTGGAGGTGGCAAAACCTTGGACCAGCACTGATGTCAGTGATGTAGGATACCACCTAAAGCAGATGTAGCTAGGCAGTGAAAGGTTGTATTGTCACTCAAGTATTTTCCTTGTGGTTTTATCTGCCAGTGGTAAATTGATTTGAGTATAAATTGTAAAGGCTCTTGAAGTTACTCCTAAAAGATGCTTTCTTTTTTAAGAATCACAATACTCCTATTTTTTCCTTTTGCTTTTTTAGTTGATAAAATGCATTGTGTTTTCATTATTGTTAACAACCTGCATTTCAGACTTCATTAATAACTGGGAGGGAATCAGGATAGTATTATATATGATAACATTTTGTGAACCAACTGTCATACCAAATGTCATCTTTCAGCAGACTGTCTTGCCCCTCTAATGCTGGTGTGTAAGAAATGTGTTACAATAAATCAGTAGAACTGCTTTCACAAGGTAACATTGATATTTAGTTTACTCATTTACTTGTCAGTTCATTGGGATTTATATTCCTCGTTTCAGCCATTAGAAATTACCAATCCAACTGCTCTTTAGCAAAACTACTGATTTCATCTCTCCCTATATTGACTTGAGAAAGATACAGGCACTGTCAAACCGATTCAGGACATCCTGAGCTAGGAAAATCCTTTCTGACACCCACAAGGTGTTTATCCCATGTCTTCCTCCCTTTTCACCCTGAACAACTGGCTTAGCATTGCTGCTTTCCTTCTGATTCTGACTGAATTGAATCCCTACATTCCCTTTCTTGCTGAATTAAGCCCAAAGAAGCTTTAGCACAGGATCAGTGTCTTCAGCAGAGCTCTGAATGTCAGCAGCTGTCCCTTTTGCTAAAGGCCTTACAAGCAGGCAGATGTCTAGGAAGAATAGATCTGCTTTGGTGGTTCTCTGGCCACACTGTGAAGATCAGCTTGAAATAATGTGGACAGGTGCTGGGATTTAAGATTC